TAGATAAAGAAAAAGAGAGAATGATAGATAGATGATAGATAAAGAAAAAAGAGACAACGATAGATATATAAAGAAAAAAGAGAGAACGATAGATAGATAAAGAGAGAGTAGATAGATGATAGATGAAGGAAAAGAGAGAGAGAATGATAGATAAAGAAAAAGAGAATGATAGATAGATAGATAGATAAAGAGAGAGTAGATAGACAGATGATAGATACATAAAGAAAAAAAGAGAGAGAAGATAGATAGATAGATTCTTGGTTCCTGACCTTGCTTAGAATGGAAGGTTGGCAGCTTTTTGGAACAGGTGCAAGTTGTATATTTGAGACACGTTCAGAAGTGATTTGGGATATGTATTTCTGGGTGAGGTTGAGTTCTTGGGAGAGAGGGATCGTCCTGGCACCGTCGGTTCCTCGTCCAACTCTTTTTCCTTCAGTGTGGACTCTTTCAAGGTTCTTTGAGATCCTGAGAGGTCCTTGGTGCTCTCTGAGCTTGCTTGTTTTCTTGCAGACATTTCATGACCCAAACTAGGTAACATCATCAGTGCTAGAAGGGAGGGGGAGGAAGAGGAGGAGAAGAAGGAGGAGGAGGAGGATGTGGTCTTTGGTGCTCTCTGAGCTTGCTTGTTTTCTTGCAGACATTTCTTGACCCAAACTAGGTAACATCAACAGTGCTAGAAGGGAGGGGGAGGAGGAGGAGGAGGAGGAAGAGGATGTGGTCTTTGGTGCTCTCTGAGCTTGCTTGTTTTCTTGAAGACGTTTCATGACCCAAACTAGGTAACATCATCAGTGCTGATGGTGTTACTTAGCTTGGATAATGAAATATCCAAGATGTAATGACTAGTAGAGCTAATCCAGATCTTAAACCACATTCTCCTCACTAGACAAGAGCTTGAACAGAAATAATAACCAATCAAATGCTTGTGAGGCTGTCATGTTTCTTTTGCGTGGAGGACACCTGACGCAGACGAATGTAATCAGTAGTTTTGCCAAGAGGGGTCCTTGGTGCTCTCTGAGCTTAGCTTGTTTCCTTGCAGACGTTCCGTTACCCAAACTAGGTAACATCATCAGTGCTGATGGTGTTACTTAGCTTGGGTAATGAAATATCTGCAAGAAAACAAGCAAGCTCGGAGAGCACCAAGGACCCCTCATTTCATCCCTGAGGTACAAATATTCTCCAATATTGGTCTTTAAGACCCTTCCTGAGACCCCCTTTCTCTTTCTTCTGAAGCATTTCTGCTTAAAAAGGGAGAGTTGATCCTTGCAATGCTGATTAATTCTTCAAGTGGCAGTTTTATGAAGTGTTATTTATTTGTCACAAACTGTGATGATGTACATTTTATTAACTTCCATAAATCCCCTGAATGTGATTAATGCATATTTTGTTCTTGGTTTTAGATTTTGTATGGGGGGGGGGCGCGGAAAGATAATGAAGGAAAGGGAGGGAGGGAGAGAATGGGAGAATGAGAGAGAGAGAGAGGGAGCGAGAGAGAGAGAGAGACAGAGACACAGAGAGAGAGACAGAGAGACACAGGGAGAGACAGAGAGAGAGAGCGCACATGTTCCCAAATTCGGTGGTTACAAGGAACTGTATATAGTTTGAAACTTTTTTTAAAAAGAGAACTTTTTGTGAGTGTAATAACAGAGTTGAAAGAAAGGGGGAACCCATTAACCTATCTTACAGTAATTCATTTTAAAATTATGCAAAGAGATAACAGATTTGGGCTCCCATGCCTGGTGATTATGACTTCTAAACCATGAATAATGGCCAAAGCGCAGCTTATTCAATATATCATGGTTAAGCAAATCACAGCTTATCTGTGATTTATCAAACCACTTTCCTTCAATTCCCATTACATCTTAGTTTAAATTCTGTAGGGATCTGAATTTTTGCATATTAGTCTGTAAACCCAGAGAAGATTGTTCCAAACGTTTCGGAGGATATACCCGTGAATTGCGGTACTGAAGGTCAAACAAGATGGCTGGGGGCTACCAAGACGGGCAACATTAGCTGCTAAATGCAAACAGATTCTTTTGAAAAGCATTTCCCTCCACGTCTTCAAATGCAGTTTCAGAACAATAAGACGAGGTTCAAAAAAAAAAACAAAAAACCACCAGATCATCCGGTGAGGAAGTCCACCAATTAAAATTCTGTGCCAGTTATTAGATTCTGTGGGAAGTCCCGTGTGCATTGAATCAAGATGAGATGAACAGTTTTCCTAATAGGCAGTGGCAAAGCTGGCCCTGTTTGTTCACAGTGGCAGCCTTTCATGTAAAAGCTTGGATTAGGATGTAGAATTCCTCACTCGGTGTTGAAAATCATTTTAATTATGAAGAGCTTTTTTTCTTTTTTTTTCATCCACCTCCCTCTCCTCAATCAGCCACCCTGGACTGTTGAGACTCTGGAAAGAGTTCAGAAAAGAGCAACAAAGATGATTAGGGGACTGGAAGCTAAAACATAGGAAGAACGGTTGCAGGAATTGAGTAGGTCTACTTCAGGGGTCCCCAATCCCTGGGCTGCAGCCCATTGGGACCCGGGCCGTCAAAGTGACAGACAAGCACATGAAACTTCATTTGTGCACGCATGGGATCTAGGTTGCACATGTGAAACCATTTTCTCTCCACCCACCTCCCACCGCTGAAATTGCCGAAGCTGCCATCACCGGTCCACAGAACCAAAAAGGTTGGGGACCCCTGGTTCTATTTTAATAAAAAGAAGGACTAGGGGTGATATGATAGCAGTCTTCCAATATATAAGGGGCTGCCCCAAAGAAGAGGGAGTCAAGCTATTCTCCAAAATACCCGAAGGCAGGACAAGAAGCAACGGATGGAAACCGATCAAGGAGAGAAGCAACCTAGAACTAAGGAGAAACTTCCTGACAGTTAGAACAATTAACCAGTGGAACAACCTGCTTCCAGAAGCGGTGAATGCTCCAACACTGGAAGTTTTTAAGAAGAGACTGGACAGCCATTTGTCTGAAATGGTATAGGGCAGTGGTGGCGAACCTATGGCACGCGGGCCAGAGGCGGCACGCAGATCCCTCTTTGGGGGCATGTGCGTCATGCCCCGGAGATGGCAACCGTCCCTCTTCAGCCAGCCACCCGCCAACTCGCCAAGGTCCCACGTGGCTGGATGCATCCCAGCACCCATGCGCTCGCTGGTCTCTGTGTGCAGGGGCTGATGGTGTCAGGCAGCAGCCGCCCTGGCCCCTGCCTCACCTTGCCCTGTGACAATGGCACCCCCGCCCTGCCTCGCCTTGCCTCGCCTCTCCCCGCAGGATGAGCCTCCTGCCCACCGCCCCACCTGCCAGAGACTCCCTGGATCTCCCCCAATCCTGCCTGGCCCCCACAGGTGTCCCTCCCCATGAGCAACATTGAGGTGATCACGCCCACCTTGGCCACACCCACCCAATCTGCCATGACCACCACAGCCACGCCCACCCAGTGGGCCACGCCCACCTGGCACCCGGCGATAAATAAGTGGGTTTTGGGTTGCAGTTTGGGCACTCGGTCTCTAAAAGGTTCGCCATCACTGGTATACGGTTTCCTGCCTGAGCAGGGGGTTGGACTAGATGACCTCCAAGATCCCTTCCAACTCTGTTATTCGGTTAGTCTGACTGAGGAGAGAGACTTCCACAGGGGTTTTCCTCCCAAGTAAAAATGATGCAAGTGGCATTCACAGCCAAAGCTGGGGTGATTTAAATGGACACATGTGAAGTCATCTGGCACTGTGCATTTTACTGGGAGAGGGAACCAGGCTTTGCTTACAAACAAGGATGAGATTTTTTTTTCGTCGTTGTTTCATGCAGCTTTATCCTAACAACTCACAGCATTTGCCCAATTAACCCACTGTTAAATGAGGAAATTTATGCCCTGCATTAAGCCACAGTGTGATTGGCATGGTTAAGATTCCTTGGGAAATGTAAACCCAACCCAATTTTCTGTAGCCCTGTAGCCATGAGGGCTACAGCAAATTGTATCTTTAGAAGGGGTGAATCCAGTTCTTTGGCTGAAAGTCTGTAGCCTCTGTTTCTTATTTGGAATGACTCACAAAGATGGCCGTGGGTGCTTTGAAATAGGTTAATAACCCAGAAAAAAGTCCTTGATCTCAAATTTTTTTTAAAGGAACACTAATTCTTGCTTCCCGTATGTATAACACAGCATTGGCCACTGTGCATTGTGACTTCACTCAATGAAATATTTTCTGCAAAATGTTAGGGCCCCTGTCCATCAACAGGTTGCCCACCCCTGCCTTGAAGGAAACAGACATTGTAAAGTTGCTCCATCACTTTATGGGTAGTTTACAGACAGAGAAAGCATTGTCTTAACCTCAGATAATCTAATTCAGTGAACCCAGTCTTAGGTGAACAGTATTTATGATGTTTCTATTTCCCAATTCTATCTATTCTGTAACACTCGTGCTGCTTTGGCTAGAGCAGCCTCTTGATTTATAGCATGGACTCTTTATTGCTATGGCTGGCTGAAAAATTCCTTGAGATCCTCTGGAACCTGAGAAGAAAGAAAAGAAAAATCAGGAAGGAAGGAAAAGAGTCACCAGGAATATTATGACCAGGGGACCTTTTGGTAGAACATTCCTTACACAGCTGAAAGGACTTTGTTTGCACCTCCCGTGGATGATGAATATCTCCTGGCCAGAGCATGTATTAGCTATGAGAAATGTATGTTAGAATGTTTGGCATTTGAAGGGTTAAGCACTGTCGCCTTAAAAGATGACTTATGGGTAATGTAGTTTTAGCTGTTCAGTGAATCCTATGTTAACAAGTCAGTGGGAGGGGCTACTAAGTTCATCACAGGATATCCTGGCTACGTGCCAGCTTGTAAAAGAAGCCTTTGTGAAGAAAGACACGAGGTGATATGTCCCATAAGAGCCATGAGTTCACCATCAATCTTTCACCCAAAAGAATGGAGAAGGTCATGATATGTTCATCAGAAGAACTCTTCTTGACTGTAAGTTATTGTTTGAAATTCCTGATGAATAAATTATCTAATATTATCACATTCTTTGGCGTTTATCTGATTGAGAAAAACAGATTAAAGCAGAAATCTTGTTTGGACCAAGACAACCTGGAAGACTCTTCTTTGGTCTGAACCACACTTCCTACTTGATATGATATGACATCATAGCAGTCTTCCAATACTTGAAGGGCTATCACAAAGAAGAGGGGGATGACCTATTCTCCAAAGCACCAGAGGCCAGGACAAGAAGCAATGTGTGGAAACTTGTTAAAGGGAGACCCAACCTAGAACTAAAGAGAAATTTCCTGACAGTGAGAACTATTTTCAGTAGAAGGGCTTGCTTCCAGAAGTTATGGGTGCTCCAACACCAGAGGTTTTCAAGAAGAGATTGGACAGCCATTTGTCTGAAATGGTATAGGGTTTCCTGCTTGAGTTGGGGGTTAGACTACAAGATGTCCAAGACCTTCCAACTCTTATTCTGTATTCTGCTTGTCCCAACACGAGAATGATGACCACCTATCATTTGGGGAGGATAGAAATGGATTGTTTCATTCTCAGCTCATCCCTTCTCTGTTGTGGAGGTGACCTCTATCCAAGGTTTCTAGCTAATATTAACCTTGGACTGGTTAACATTGCTTGGTCTATTCACTTCTTGAATAGGTTTCATGTCTACTGAAATGGCCTTTCAAATTTCCATCCTTTCCTCCACTTTGGCCCCATTGATGGCCAAATGTCCTGTCCAGACCAAGGTTAACATCATCTAGAAAACTGGGATGCAGGTCATCTTAACAGTCAAGGGGTTAAGCCATGGGACACAGATGAAGTGTGGAATAATCCTTGATTCATGTTGGGGGAAATGTCATATTCTTTTGCTCACTGGATCTGAAATCTAATGCCCTGTGTGTACAGTATTTGGTTAAGGGTAACTGTGAGAATGTTCTTCTTACATGCCTAGTCATGAGGATCATTCCCTCTAAATCCATGCTACGTGGGACAATTATGGAATTCTTTACCTTGTCTTCATGTTTCTGGAAGAGTTCATATATGTTGCAGGCTTTGGTGATCAAGTCATCTGCATCAAGATCTACAATGCTGTGGCAAAGCTGGTTGGAGAAGACAGGGAACAACATCAGCTATCTCACGCTGCCGTTCATGGTTCAAATTCAATATAGATCAGGGGTGTCAAACTCAATTTCATTGAGGGCCGCATCAGCATTGCAGTTGCTCTCAGGGGGCCGGGTGGGTGTGGCCAGGGTGGGTGCGGCCTACTGGGTGGATGTGGATGGAGTGGGTGTGGCCTACTGGGCCACACCCACTCCATTTATTTTATTTAAAAATAAATAAAAATATTTATTTTTAATTATTTTCTTAAATTTTGTATTGTATTGTATAAATTGTTTTTAAACTGGCTGTAAGCCGCCCTGAGTCCTCCGGGAGAAGGGTGGGGTATAAATATAATAAAATGAAAATGAAATGAAATGGGTGTGGCCAGCTCTACATTGTTCGCGTCAAGGGTGCCTGTGGGGGGCTGGGCAGGAGTGGGACAGATCTGAGGGTCTTTGGCAGAAGGGGGTGGGACCGGGGCAAGCGCCAAGGCATGGTGCATTTCTTCATTCCTCACAAAGGGTGACACCTCCCCAGCATGCACCTAGGGGGCGGGACTGACACAGCAGGGGCTGGTTCCTCGCTGTTTCTAGACGGCCTTGTGGAGCTAAGACTGAATGTGTTTCAGCATAGATGGCCATCACAAAATTGTACATTGGCTCCCAGCCAGCCTGGGCCAGGGCCAAGGCAGCGGGGGCCGTTCCCTCATTGTTTCCAGGATGGCTTCGCGGGCCACATGAAACCACTTCGCGGGCCGCATCCGGCCCCCGGGCCTTGTGTTTGACATGTTGGATATAGATCAATATATAATTGATGGACAAGAACGATGCTGATGGAGTTGGTAATTACTGATTGTATCCAAGTGGTCCTCAACTTACAACCACTCATTTAGCGACCGTTCAAATGGCTACAGAATAAAGTGATTTAGGACCCATCCTCACACGTACAGCTATTACACCTACAAAACCTTTCAAATTTTGAAAAGACCAGTTTTTGTAAACTACAACATGGAATGAGTCTGTGCATTGTATTTTTGACAAGCTAAACTCTAGAAATTTACCGGGTGTAGCTTGTCGTTTTTGCTTTATTGCGGCCTTCATAATTCCCTACAATCCACACTTTTCATAAGTAGCTTTCAGTGGGGCCAATTCAGGGCTATTCACCCTGCGTTTGAATGTTTCTCTCCCTTATTCATCCGACTTACCATTAAAATATCATCTCCCTCCAGATCTTCTCGGAGGATCTGGTCCCTCACAATCTGCAGCATTGTGTAAGCGACAATCACCTGGAAGTTTCTACAGGGATGTCCTATCAGAAACACCTTGAAGTTCAACACAAATTAGAATTAGTAGATAACGTTGGAGGATTCCTTCTCTGATCCAGGATTATCACCTATGCCTCTTTCTATCCCCGCAATCCATTTTAGACCGTGATAAACTGTTGGTGAAATATTTAGGAACTTGACCTCTGAAGGAGGAGGAAAAGGTGGTGGTGGTGGTGGTGGTGGTGGTGGAGGAGGAGGAGGAGGAGGAGGAGGAGGAGGAAGAGGAGGAGGAGGAGGATGGGGATGGAGTCGTTGGTGCTCTCTGAGCTTGGTGGTTTTCTTGCTAATGTTTCATGACCCAAACTAGGAAACATCATCAGTGCAAGAATGGAGTGGGGGAGGAGGAGGAGAAAGAGGCAGAGACAGAGAAAGAGGGAGGGAAGGAGAGAGAGAGAGAGAAAGGAGAGAGACAAAGAGAAAGAAAGACAAAGAGACAGAAAAAGAGAAGATCATCTCGCTGGCATTTCTCTCAGTGCAGCAACTGCAAAAAATAGAGCTGTTGCATCTGCTGCCATTATAACTGCCAGCAAACTCCTGGCATTTGACAACCTTCCTGGCAAGAAGAAGAGGAAGCATGCTGATGCTCAACCTTTGCAAATATTAAATGAAATAAGAAAAGCTAAATATGGTGACAGGATGGGACCAGAGTGGGAACTGTGGCTTGGTTTGGTTGGAAATCTTGCTATGGTCACTGTCCCAATCCTTGTTAAGGACCCCCTCGATAGCCAAAAGAAAAAAAAAAAAAAGAGAGAGAGAGAATGAAAGAATGAAAGAAAGAAAGAAAGAAAGAAGAAAGAAAAAAAGAAAGAAGAAAAAAAAAGAAAGAAAGAAAAAAAGGAAGGAAGAAAGAAAGAAAGAAACAAAGAAGAAAGAAAAAGAAAGAAAGAAGGAAAGAAGGAAAGAAAGAAAGAAAAAGAAAGGAAGGAAGGAAGAAAGAAAGAAAGAAAGAAAGAAAGAAAAAAAGAGGAAGGGAGGGAGGGAGAGAAGGAGAAAGGAAGGAAGGAAGGGAGGGAGGGAGGGAGGAACCGAATTAGCTGCTCTCAGGTGCTGAAATGGCATTAGGCAGGCACTGATGTCAACATCTGGAAACTGCTTGGTGCCTTCATATTTGTCCAGAGAATCAATGAAACACTTGGCAGAGATTCTGTCAATAAAATTTGATTTGGGCTCTGCAGCGAGTGGGTGTTTTGTTTTTCCTCCCCTAAACCAGACAGGCTTTTTAGCGTAGGAATGAGTGCGAGGGATTGCTGTTGTTGTTTTAAGTGAACAACAGTTCTGAAGAGAGATGCTTATTGGTCTTTCGAGTGACACTGGAAAGCACTCTAAACCCAGCTAGGTGGCAAGATACAAAACATTATCGGTCTTCTGAGAATGTGCACCCAGTCCAAGAGGCGAGACTTGAACAGGAATAGAGTGATTCCCCAGAATCCAGTTGCCTTGTGAAGGAACGCAAAGGAAGTTTAGGATCTTCTAAAATGTTGCCTTTTATTCATAAAAGTATCAGCTGGGCATGAAAAAGAGCCTCACAGCAGGAAATCTCCCCCCCCCCCAAAATGCCCCTCATTGGGTTTCTAGGAAGAAACAATCCAATCCTTTGATGTGTTTCCTGGTCCCGCTCCAAAATGTTGTGGTTTGACCCCAGCAGCTGGAATGATCTCATTGCTGGCACTGAAATGCCAAGATCTCTGAACTGCTTTCCTTTTGGAGGTCTCCTCTCTTTTGAGGAGAGTTGGACAGAAGTGGCCTTTTGAAGTTCTCCCAGATGTTTCTGGGCAGAAGACGTGGGGCGAAAGATTTCTGCAAATCAGTTTAGGGAAACAAATCCGTTTCAGGGTGTGTGCTGACTCAGCGGTTTAAAGACACCGAGCGTGTCAGCTGGAAAGTTGACAGCCTGGGTTTGAGACCCACGTGACGGGGTGAGCTCCGGGTTCCTTGCTCCAGCTCCAGCTCAACTAGGAGTTCGAAAGCAGGCAAATGCGAGTAGATAAATAGGTACCACTTCGGTGGGAAAGTAACAGCGTTCCGTGCATCTTTGGCGTGCAGCCGTGCTGACCGTGGAAAAGGTCTTCGGACAACATTGGCTCTCTCGGCCGAGAAGTGGACATGAGCATCGCACCCTAGAGTGGGACATGACTAGAAAGGAAAAATCCTCCCACCAATTCTCAAAGGCAGAATTCCTTGCTTGGGGGTGACAATAACCCCTCTCCTGAACTCTTTCGGGAGAAGGTTCAGAACGAGTGGCTCTATCCATATGTGGTGTTAAAAATCTTGAATGTGGCCCCAGATCTTTTGCAATTTTGTTTTTTTTAAAGTACGAGAAGAATAAAATGTTAAATGCAAGAGAGTAATAATCAGTTGCCCATCTAAGTGGCAGTCTCTAGCTACCATGTTTTCCCAGAAAACAAGACTAGGTCTTATATTAATTTTTGCTCCAAAAGATGCATTAGGGTTATTATTTTCTGGTTAGGGCTTATATTCAGGCAAATACAGTATTAAATGCGTCCATCTGGCTGACAGTCTTAACTGGGGCTTATTTTGGGGTGGGGCTTATATTACGAGCATCCTGAAAAATCATGCTAAGGCTTATTTTCTAGTTGGGTTTTATTTTGGGGGAAACACAGTAGCTTTGACTGATCTCAGAGACCACAGAGACCTGGGTGGGAACCTATCAGGATTTCCTATGAGATGTTTCCTGGGTGGTCACCAGGAGTTGACTTGGATTCAAAGAAGATTTTACTTTTACCATAATGATTTGTATTTTATTTCCTTAGTTTATTGTGGATTCAATTTAGGGGGAAAAAACATCATTTACACTTAGTTTTGTTCTGACTGCTACCGAAAAGGTATTGATTATCGTTTGACATCCAATTTCTTTGCTGGACCCCTAAGCAAGTATCAGGAGATACTTACCTCCCACAGCCTCCAGACATCCTCGAAAGACTTGAAGACACGCTGGAAAAAGAGGCAGAACCAAGGAAACAATGAGGACACCACTTGGCCTTTTGTCTCTGGAAAAAATAAAACACACACACACAGACACACACACACATACAAAAAGGACTAAGGTTTATGTCCTGTGAATCCAGTCTTTCAATACCGAAAGAGTCAGGAAGAAAACATTCTATTCATGCCCTTTTGACTGGACAAAAAAGGAAAGTAAGTGTAATGAACCCTTAAGATTTTGCCAATGTTGTGTTGTGCTGATCTTGGCTTTTTAAAAGTGCTTTTTACAAATTTCTAGAATAAAAGAAAAATATGTTGCATGCATTAAAGCTTCTCTTCGCTTCTCTTCTCTTCTCTTCTCTTCTCTTCTCTTCTCTTCTCTTCTCTTCTCTTCTCTTCTCTTCTCTTCTCTCCTCTCCTCCCCTCTCCTCTCCCCTTTGCCTCCCCTCCCCTCCCCTCCCCTCCTCTCCTCTTCTTTTCCCTTCCCTTCCCTTCCCTTCTGCTCCCTTTCCCCTTTCCCTCCCTCCCTCCTTTCTTTCCTTTCGTGCTCTCCCTCCCCTCCCCTCCCTTCCTCTCCCCTTCCTTTCCCTTCCGCCCCTCAGGATTATACATTTCAGATGGGTAGCCGTATAAATTCTCTAAAGAGTTCATAAATAAATAAACTACATCTCTGCCCAGGAAGTCGCCAGGGGTCTCTGGTCCTCTTCTGGCTTTTACACTTTTGGGCAGGCAAGGAAACAGCATCTGAGCTCACCCAGTCAAGCGTCAAAACTTACCCAGGTGTTTTGCAAAGATTGGATCCATAAATGCAACCAAGGCTTTCAGCATGAGCAGGTTCTTCTGCACCCCAACATTTATGATGCAGCTGTTCTCCTGAGAACCAAAGCAATGGAGGAAAGGGAATTTGATCAAGGGACACAAAGACCTTGGACAACCTAACCCAAACCAAATAATATCTAAGACTACACATGTTTAGATCCTCCCAAATCTATATTACGCAACTGTGTAATTAGCATAAGAGCCAGTCTAGCTAAAAGCCCTGGACTGGGAACCAGGAGAGTGAGACTGGTCCTGTCTCAGACCCAAAACAAGTTGAGTGACCTGGCATCAAGAAAACGAAAAAATATATTATTATCTGGAATGAGATATCAAATAGCTTTTTGGTTTAGAAGCGGCCTTTTTTTTAAGAGCCAGATTTCAGCATTTCTGTTGATTGAAGGGTTGATTATTTGTATGTGACCACCTTATTCTTTTTATGTGGCTGTTATTTGTATCTTGTCAATCCAGAGTTGTTTGATTAAGGTAGGTGGCCCTGATCTGAGTATCTGTTTGGAGGATGGGTTTTAAAGGCAGCCTCATGACTTGAGTAAAACGGAAAGACGGGGTTTTAAATAACAACAATTGCAGCAATAGCAAAGAGAGACCAGCTCACAGTTTTTTGCAGGAAAAACTGAAATAGCCAGTAGATCTCGTGCTCCTCTTCAACAAGCAACCTGAAGAGAAGAAGCATTTCGTGGAAACCTTGTTGGTATTCTGCAAGATGAGAGAGGGGGGGAGGGGGGGAGGGAGAGAGAGAGAGAAAGAAAGAGTGTGAGGGAGAGAAAGAGAGAGAGAGAGAAAGAGAGAGGAGGGAGAAGGAAAGAGTGTGAGGGAGAGATAGAGAGAGAGAAAGAGAGAAAAAAAGAGTGTGAGGGAGAGAAAGAGAGAGAGAGAGAGAGAGAGGGAGGGAGGGAGAAAGAAAGAAAGAAGGAAAGAAAGAAAGCATGTGAGGCAGAGAGAGAGAGAGAAAGAAAAAGTGTGAGGGAAAGAAAGAGAGATAGATGGAGGGAGGTAGAGAAGGAAGGAAGGAATGTGAGGGAGAGAAAGAGAGGGGAGAGAGAGGAAGGGAGAGAGAGAAAGGAAGAGTGTGTGAGAGAAAGGAAGTGTGAGGGAGCGCGAGGGAGAGAAAGAAAGAAGAGAGGGAGGAAGAGAGAGAGATAAAGAAAGAAAGAGTGTGAGGGAGAGAAAGAGAGAGAGGGAGGGAGGGAGGGAGGGAGAAGAGAGAGGGAGGGAGAGAGAGAGAGACGGGAAAGTGATTGAGAAACTTGTCTTCTGAAGAATCTAGCTCTTCATACTTCAAAACTGACGTCTCATTATTTCTACCAGCTTTGGAGAGTCTCTTTTCAGAGATATCCCCTGAATTGCTTTGAGCCTTGGAATTTCTCAGTGGGAACATCCAGAATTTCATTCCTCAGAATTGATAGATGCATCTGTACAAGAGCTTGGCTATGTGGAAAATCTGCTGTTGTGGGAATGTTTCAAAGTTCTCAGAACGGTAGGATTCGCCTCTATCTCCCAGGGCCCTTTAACATTGTTGAGGCATTGATTTTCTGCAACCAGCTGGAAATGGAATCAAAACAGAAGTTTATAGGAAATGATACTTAGAGGGCTGGATAGATGAGAGAAAATCCAGTTGTTGTTGCAGAAATAGACGAGTCTAGTTTTGAAAGGTCTACGTGAGGGACCCTGCAGACAACTTACCCAAACTAAGCCTGATTGGCCAATGGTCTGAGCCTCCCTGAGACAAATTCCCATGCACCAAAAACAATCAAAGGAACAGGATTAG